CCCCAAAACCCCAAAACCCCAAAACCCCAAAACCCCACTGCTAGTTCATATTGGTAAAATATAAAAAAATATTTATGTATTAATTGTTAACCTATATAAGACATGTGTATATACCTTTAACTTATGTATGTTGTATTTTTACCTATTATTTTAAAGTCATAATATTTTTTGTTATGCAGTTTTTTATTATGATTGCTTGTTTCTTAGTTAGGAACTATTAGTTGAATACTTTGGCGAATTAACCAATGATTTAGAATAATTTTTCTCATTTAGTTTTCCTATTTTTAAAGCTAGTTGGTTAAATTTTTATAATTCTTTTGCTCTCTACGTCTAATTAAGATCTTCAAATTAATTCTCAGAAATATCCTGCAATCTAATATTAGGGTTACTTGGAGAATGCATCCCAGTTCTAGAAATAACTGAATAAGATGTCTTCTTGCCATTTAAACTATTATGATCTAATTAAGTCTAATTTTAGATTTAATTTCTTCCACTTAGCATCTCAAACTTGCTCAATACACTTGGGGATTTACCTTTTTAATTAGCAATAGCTGGTAATGATAGGATTGATTGATGGTCTATATTGTCGATTGAATCGTTCAAAGCAGGAAGAGAAGTGTATACATCTGAATTGGGTGGATTTGAATGTCCTGTTTTTTTCCTTGAACTTGATCTTCCTAGTAGATCTGAAGCTTTCAATCTCTTACTGCCATTTCTATCCTAAGATTAATCGATAATAGGCGTTTATTCTTTATATCCATTGGAGACATTTTCTAAATATGCAATTTCCTTTAATCTCATCTCGATTAATTCTTATCTCTATTAATGTTAAGTAATTCCATTTGCTTCTTGCGTGCTTCAATTTCTCTGTTATCAACCACTGTTTATCTTTCATAAGCTTTCTAAAGTAATTTCTTGAACTTTATCATCTACTTCTTGCTTTAAAACCTCTTTTGCTGTTACATATTGCTCTCATTAACCTCATCTTCTAAAGCTGTTGATTGATCTTCATTATTACTAAATGAGATACCTTTTTCATGAGCAATTTATTCCATTTCATTTACTTTTTAGAGTAATTCTTCTTTCTTTGACTTTTAATATTCTCTTTTTTCGAGAGCTTTTTAGTATTAATCCTATAATTCTTGTAATTTCTATTATGATCTTTGAAGTTAAAGGCTAATCTTATCAACTTCTGTAGCAACGATATTTTTAGTTTCACCACCAGCTTCTTCTGCCTATGCTAGTATCTTATCAAATTTTTTCTCTCTTTTAAATGTTTCTGTGTCTAATGTCCTTTTCTCCTTTTCTAGATTTTTTATTGAGTAGTCAATATCAACATTTTGCTATTTTAATCTAGCAATATAATTAGGATCACTATATCTTTGGTATTAACGCTGAAGTCTCTCATATTCACTGAAAAAATTCTTCATCATCTTATCTTAATTCTTGATTTCTTCGTCTTTCTTGTTTAAAACATGTTAAATATCTTTTGATGGCATATCATCAGCATTAGCCATTTTTTTCTTTGTTTTGATGTCTACATTTTAATAATTGATAAAATATAATTTACTATATTCCTTGATAAATTCACAGACTTCATCTAAGTGATTATTTAAAACTTTTAGATGTTCTCTTAATTACTAGTTTTCCAAAGTCAATTGCTTTTTATCCTTCTTTATTTCAGGTAACTAATATATAATAATAAGATGATATAATAAATATTACCGTAATGTGATTTTAATCAATAGTTTAGTTCTTCATAGAGTCTAGGTTTACTCCTACAAAATGTTAATAAAAATTTTTTATTGCCTTACTAGTTTCATCTATTTTTTTCTGAATCAAGTCAAGTTTTGAAGGTTTAATAGGATGCTAGACCTCAGGCCTTTAATGAGGATTGCTCTTATATCTTTTGTGCTTGGATTTCTCAGGTATAGTTATTTAAGAGCTTTCATTTGTACTCTTGACTCTAATGCTACTATTATCTTCCGAGCTCTTATTATTATGAACTGTAACTATGCTATTTTCTTATTTTAAATCAAGCTCAACAATCATGTTCAAATTAGACTTTGTCATTTTCAATTATTTAGGGCTCACTTTCGATAAAGTTGCAATTTTTGTTGACATCAATTAGGGCTACTTTTAGTTAGAAACTGGAGACAATTTTGGCAATAAAGAATTTTCAGTGGCTTTAATTGGCAGATTAGAAAAGCTTTTTTCCTCATTCTAGATTTTTATATCTTATTAGAATTTTATTCTCTTTGCGATCTATTACTTTTCCTTGGGTGATACTTTTGGAATAGTCTATTTTACAGTTGTATCAAACATAATAGCTGAATTAACTATTTCTTTTATTGCTTAAGGCTAGTCTTTCTTATAAGCTGATTTAACATTTATTTATAATGACTGCTCATGTGGTTTTTAATTATTCGGTTATTATTATAACTAGCGTAACTCATTTTGACTATCACTAGGGGATCTAATTTTTATAGTTTTTGGAAGTGTTAGTATTCAATCAGAGTGTAACTCAGAATTAAATTTGACATTCTAGGCCAATTTCTTATCTTTGCTATTCACAATAGTATTGTTCTTTAATATGCTGTTATTTATCTTGTTTGTTAGTTTATCCTAGGCATTATCAATATCTTCAAAGCTTTATTACCCATTTTAATTAAGGGATTGGTTTAATTGATTGTGAACAGGTGGTATGTAAGAAATATCCATAAACAATAAGGCTGTTTGCTTTCCATTATTCATTTAAAGCTTGTACCACTTAGCCTCACTTTCACTTCTCAGAGACTTTGGGTCGATTTGAATCATTCCTATCATATCACTTTCATGCAATTACTTATCTTTCATAATGATAATAATAGGGTTGTTTAGATTGGCTGCGGGTATTTCAAAAGACTGATCCCAGATTGGGCACTTTCCTCCCATGTGATAAGCCCTTGTTTCATAGTGATTCTTATCGTATTCAATTGCTACATATGGACTCATTTTGAGATATATATTCTGTAACTTAGTTATGGATCCTTCTTTTATAACGATGTAAAATGATCCATGGCCATTGGAGTTATTCTTAATACAAATGAGTTATCATGAAGGATATTCTTACTGTTCTCTGAGATAATTATTACCTTCTGTTGGCAAGAGAACTACCAATAGAAACTTAACTTTACAAAATATTTCCTGTGTTTAAATTTCTACAATATTCTTAAGATTTTATATATTACAATCCAGGAATAATTCCTGCCTTATCATAAGCATTTTGTATTTTAGACAGCAATACCTATTTAAGATCAAACCCTTTTTCAAGCTACAATTACAAGCTAATTAAACTGATAAATTTACTTTAGCTGGAGAGAGATGTGGACTCTTGACAGTTACTGAGTCATATCTCGCTATAGCATCATTACTACCTTATTCACTGTCGAAGTAATCTCCTTAAGTATTATTCATCTCTATATTATTATCAATTTTTCTATACATTTTCATTTTATTCAAAATATTGAAATTAATACTTACGGGGTTTTGGGGTTTTGGGGTTTTGGGG